ATATATATATATATATATATGCATATATATATATAAATACATATATATATATGACAGGTGCCCAAAAAAAAACTGATTTTTTTTGTGTACTGTAAAGAATTTTATGATCTGCAGAAGTGTTTCTTCTTCGATTTTTTTTTTCATTTTTTGTCTTCTTTAACTTTTACTCCCTAGGGTGTACTAGTGCCACCTTCTGCTCCTCTTTTCCCCTTTAAACTGTGCACCACTGACTTTTTAAGTTTCTAATAGAAAACGCTGGAAATCAATTGTTTTTGCTTTACAACTTATTTTAGATGAAAGGGGTAATAATTTTGAATGAAAACAAAGTTTACCTTAGGCCATCTTGGAGTTTATTTTAGAAGTGACTTTGTGAATTAATCATCACTGGTGTCTCTCTGTTTTGGCTGCAGACTTCAGACCTGTGGAACAAACGTCACAGTGTAGCCATTGGTGATGTGCATGAATGCAAGCTCATACGCAGGAAGGAGATGACTCCCAAACAAGTGGACCACACTTGGAAATCAATGACAGTTGCACAGTATGCATTTTCTTTCCACTCTCCTTCCTCACAGTTTGCTGATTGTTCTTAAACATAGTGATTTGATGCTGATAGTGACTGCTGCAGTTTACAGAGAGTGCTGGGTCTGAAGTCATTGGATGGAGTTTTAAACCCTGCACAAGTGTACGGCAAACACATTGTTCATAATGTGTTCAGTGTTAATAAGACGGGTATAGTTGTGTTGGAGAACAAAGCAGGTATGGGTTTGTTTTTTTTTTTTCACATTAATATCTGAGTCGCTGTAGTAGATTTTCAAATTAAAAGTTACCTTTATCTATTTGCACCTCAAGAGGACATGCCTTATTGGGTGGTATCAGCAATGAGATGCCTTGCCAACTGTGAGTATCTGATTTATTTTATCCCTAATTAAAATATACATTTAAATGTATTGTTGTTGTAGAACAAGGATGTGGAAAAGGGCAACTTGAGCTCATGGTTCTGCCTCTCACTCATGTATTCTGTAACAGACTGAGCTGAATCATATATCTATAATCACAAAACCTTCATTGATGGTCTTAACTGTTACTACAAATCTCTTTCACTGTTGTTCTCTTTCCTGTCAATGGTTCCCTTAGCATAGCATAAGAAATACATTTTATAATCTCTTATATTGTATTTTTTCTGTTCCATGATTTTTAGGGCCTAATGGTAATGAAAGTAACCAACCAGTGTATCCTGGTTTTGAGAGGGATATCCTTAGAACCATAGCAGATTATTTTCAGAGGCTCAAAGAACCACTTCTGACGTTTCAACTGTATGAAGTGTTTGTCAACATTCTCAGTAAGTGCATTGTTGTTTGATTCTCACACTAACATTTGCTCACTGGTCAAACACTTGTCGTGGTTTCCTTTTGTCAAAGTCGTGGGTTTACTCTCTCAGAAGCAAATGTCTCATCTTTTTATGTTCATGCAGGTCTGCTGCAAGAGGAGGAGGTGGCCACTGAAGCTCTTCAGCTCAGCACACTCTTGCTGCCTCCACCCAACCGAAGACGCCTCCAGCTCTTGATGCGTCTTATGGCACGGGTCTGCCAGAATCCCCACCTACCGCCTCTCAATGACACCATTATGACACGCACACTGGTACAAATGCCTGTTTTTGTTTCCGTTCTTGTCCTACCTGCTACAGTACAAACTATATTTCAAAGAAGATATAGATGGTGGATTTTCATTATGAAGCTTGAGATCAAAAATATAATTGGTTTTGTGCACTGGAATTTAAGGTTTTTAGAGCAGACACGTCAACCTATAGGAAAGAAAGATGTGGAAAATACCGAACAGACAAGACTGCCTGCCTGGTCAGAAAAAGCAAATTCTACTTGGAGCTGAAATTACTACTACACAACTATCTGCAATAGTTTGAGAAACTCAGACTATTGGATGTAGTTGGTGGAGCAGAAGCCCAAACTCCATAACAGCTGCTGTGTGTGTGGAAACTGTTTCCATAATAATTATTTGTTTTTCTATTTGCATCATTTCTGTTTTTGTCCGAACATTTGGAAGAGGGAAGATGGAGTAAATATTGACCATGTATATGAAGTTCCTGTTAGGGAATCAGTTCACATTTGCGGGAAACATTCCTTCCACAACAGACACACACTGCTGTCTGCACGGCAGACAAGACAAACTCTGGGGAATAGTATTGGACAAACTACCACAGGAGTGTGATTATGGTAACTACATGCAGCAAGTAAAGTAAACAAAAATCTTAAGACAATAAGGGATAAGTTATTTGCAGGATAACAGGATTGTACCCAAAAATATATTATGCAAAAAATGAATATTAAATCTTAGCAAACTTGTTTTTCCTTCTGCTCCTGAGGAACAGTGTCCACAATAATGTTTCTGTGTCTTGTTTTGTGGTACACATGCACTTAAAAGTGTTTAACTTTCCAACAAAACTACCATCTGTGGATTTTATGGCTTCTCACAATATGTTCAATATACATTCACCAGCTGCTAACCACATTCACACATGGAGTCATGTAGACAACAAACTGGAGTTCATACTGGTGATCAGAAACTAAAAGATCAGTCACTGATGTAACTATATGTGACTTGTTTATTGTTGCCTCAGAGTGATGTCTCTGAGTGTTTCTGAAACTGCACAGTCACTGGGATATTTACGCACATAACCATCTCTGAGGTTCACACAGAGTGGTCGAAAGTAGAGAAAATCTCCAGTGAGCTGCACTTTTCTGGCTGAAAGTGTCTTATTTAAGGCAGAGGTCAGACCAAAGTGGACAAGTTCCAGATAAAAATGCAAATAATCACCTTTCACCACCACAGCAAGCAAAAATCAATCTTTGGACAGAGACCTATTAAACACAGTAATAGTTGTTTGAGCAGCTAAAGGCATCACAGAACACTATTGGGATAAATATGATGTCAAGCTCAAACAGACTGTGTCCATGTTTGTGTTATTTTTGTTTGATTTATTTATTCATGTTCTTTATAATTTGTGTTTAACTGGCCTGGAAATAAGAGGAACAAGAACTGTGTGGAGTCTGCAGTTTTATAGGTATCTATAGTGCTGTGTTACAAGTCTTGTTGACCTATTCACATTTTGACTGTGTTTAACCCAAACAGTATAAACTATATTGTACATCTGCTTCTCTGGCGCAGACATACTTTCGTGGCAGCAGCTTTGGGCTGTGGATTCTTTCGATATGCATATATAATGATAACTTCTGCCATCCACTCTGTCACAGCTGCTCCACTTTGATTACTTAGTCACAACTGCTTCAACTCTGAGTTCGATCTGTGCAGATGCTGCAGATGTTCTCTCACTGCGTCCTGGGCTCGGTGGATGAGATGGACTTGGATGAGCTGCTGGCCACCAAACTGGTGACGTTCATGGTGGACCACCATAACGTCATCTTCCAAGTTCCTTCCAAGCTGCACAGCCAGGTTGAGGAGCACATGTCACATTTCAAAAGAGCTCAGGTCAGTAAGCATGGATTATTATTATCGATGTGCACCCGTCTCTCTTCTATAGAGACATGTTTCTGCAACAGTACTAGCAGGTTAAAAAACAGCAATGTAAACATATTGAAAGGCAGGACCATCCAACTAGTCATGTAAAATTAATCTTTCTGTTAACTCTGTCTCTAACCTGCTAAATTGGCAGAATAAACAGATATGATGGATTTTAAAATGGTACACTTTTTCTAAAACAATACTTTTATTTATTTCTTAAAATGTTCATTCTTAAAACTTTCTGTTGCTCCAAATTTGATGCCATTTGCTGGCTTCCCCATGTTTTACATGTTTTTGCACATCAAGACTTTAATTGTTCATTGATGTATCTGGAGCCTGGCCCAAGTCTGTTTTAATGTGGAGGGTAGAGTGTTTAGGGTGACATACTCTCAACATATTGGTTAGTATTATTTTATTATATCATATTATTTGTGTGAGCCCTGCAGATGAAAACTGGTGTTATGTATTCAGAGAAGCTTAGACAGAGTCACCTCCATAAAACAGTACATTGTCTTTGTATGTTGGAAAACTAGGGGCACTGTCTTGTCAATTATTCCCTCATTGTTTTGCTTTACCACTGGCTGCTGTGTATTGATTTTCTTTCTTCAGTCAATATCCACATAAAATATTATTTCATGGTAGAGCTCTAAGCAACATATTGATTTGTGATTTGTGATTAGAGAGGCTAGTAGGTAGATTTGCACTCATTGAAACATTGAAGTTAAAACAATCAATAAAACAGCACAAAATGTAAACAAAACTAAATGTTCTAAAAATAATAGCACGCTTAACTGAATGTTGATTTCCTGGGATCTGATTTGTGTTTTTCTTTTTAAAAATTTAGGACCCATGATCCACTGTGTTTTCTTTAATCCACTCAAGTTCTTTTTCTCCTCACTCAACCTGTTTGTTTTTTAGGAGTCTGATTGTACTTTGAGCCACATTTAATATCCCTTCTTCAACGACAGTTTTTTTAAATAGCTATGAATGTGTTGACACACAGGTGGAACTGGGGTTGAAATGTTTGTAAATGTAATTGAACATGCAGCAAGTCTGTTTACCCACACAACACTGCAAATTTTATACTCCTGTTTCCTTGCGTGTGTTTGACTCTTTTTCTAATCCCTTAGAAAACAAACTGTACTGACGATCTTTGTTCTACAAACCAAGAAAATACTGGTTTTTTTTTTATCTTGCCATCAATCATTGTCTGCTCTGTTTTACGCTTCCTTCCACTGTAAATCAGAAAAAGAAATAATTGTTATGCTAATAATTCTATTATCTGACACTGAACAAACTGCTTTTATTTGCTGGCCTCATCGGTCATCCTGTTTATTGATGTGCATCAAGGCAGAAGCAGTCACCCAGCCAATGCTCGAGTTATATTTTTTATAGATTGTGAGTTCCAGTTATCAGCACAATATATGATCAGATCTACTTGGTTAATTGTTTTTTCAAAAGCCCGGTAAATTTGGGACACATGTTTTACTCTGCTGTGGTTTAAAACAGTTTTCCAGAAGCCTGTCAATTTAAAGTCCATTTTTAATCCTAATGGAAACCCTGTCCTCTGTCTTCCATCAGATCAAATATGTCGGTTCTGATACGGACTTCAGTGCTTCCCCAGCCTTCTGTAAACAGATCAGGAGAGTTGAGTCTGAAGAGCAGAAGGTGATCGGCACCCAGACCTCTCTGCACGAGCTGCTGGAGGGTCTAATCGCAGACAAAGAACTTCCTGTTAAGGACAAAAGAAAAAGGCTGAAACAGGTATGTAAACACCAAACAAATTTTTGGTTTGGAAAGTAAAAAAGCTTTTTTTAAGTAATTATTTTCTGATATCCAAATGATGGGGTGGGGAATATATTGTCCATCCACTTGATTAAAATTAATTATTTAAAAAATACTTGATTTATCAAAGTTTACACTTTATTTTGAAGCATCTCTTCTTTTGTTTTGCCAACACGCAATATTTTCCAACTTTTATCTGAACTGTTTTACTTATGTGACACCATTGGCCATTTATAAGCAGCATGTAATCCATTCTAATTTACCAACTGAAATGAATGGCAAGCTGAAATGTTTAATTCCTTCACAACACTAAACTAGGGCTGAATTTTTAACCACTGAAGGCCTTCTTATTTTTTTTTCAATTCTTTACATTGATTTATTAACATATTTTAGTTTACTGATTGATATCCCCAGGTCCTTAATTTGGAATTTCATGCCATTTCATGTTTGTTGTCACATTCAGTCTGACAGTAAAAATTCTTGAACCCTTTAAGTTCTTTAAAAAAAAAATGGATGCACACTAATCTCTTGACTGCCATTGTTGTAAAGGCTTTGGGAATGATTTTTATGCACCAGCAGGTTGAGAGTGTTTCCACCCTTAGCTGAAGGTTTGCAGAGGCCTGAAGAATTGTGTGTAGTAAAAGCAAAAAGGGGAAAACATTTTTTCTGCAGAAATTGTAAGAGCCTGAATACATCTTTCAAACGATCTCCGTCATATATCTCCCTCTTCATGGACACATAATGTTTTAAAGGTGCATTTTCCTTTGCAGTTCCAACGCTCGTACCCAGAAGTCTACAATAATCGCTTTCCCACTGAAGAAAGCAAAGCAGCCATCATTCCAGAGAAAACGTCTCGACTCAAACAAAATTTCATGCTCTTCAACATCAAGAAGCCGCTGCAGCCTTTTCAGAGGAGCTGGAGTTTTAGGGCCTGATGCATCATCAGGCTGGTGTCCATCTCAATGTCCTGAAACTAAGAGGAATGTGGGGAAACGGCCATTGATGGTACTTTTATTGTTTTATACCAATTCAAAATCATGCAGTTTTTTTTTTTTACGTGTTGAAACTTTCAACACCCGTCTCAACTGGTACATCTTTTGATGTGTCTGTCTTTAAACACACTATGGTAAAAATGTTACGGTTTCGGAATTTCACACCGTTATTGATTGGTCTCAATTTGTGAATTACTTGCAACGTTTTCTAAACTTAACTAATATGTCCTTTTAATGACATTTCTAAATATGTACTCATTGTTGTGAGAAAACCAAATGTACTTACAAGTAGTAAATGAACCACTAATGTTTTATAATAGGTTTGACTTAAATCTTTTTTTACATTACTGTGTCCGTAATCTTTGTGAGAAACGTCCAAGATCCTGGAAAGTAGCTCAGTACTGTGAAGAGAACAGTGACCAAATGATAAATGAATGCACTTCAAATGTGGGAATGCAGGTTGTAATTTAAGATACTCTGGCAGTGAGCTGGTTCCATTCACACCTCACCACAGTTTAATTCATTTATTTTATAAAATACTGGTAAGCCAGTGTGTCACAACATGAACCCTTTTGTGCTCAGGGGTCACTGCAGTTAACAACTGTTTAGAAGTTGTACAAAAGCCACAGGTTGACACAGTGTTAACTTTGTAAACTGGCCCTCAATATGACACTGACTAAAGCCAACATAACTGCAAGGACTTCACAGGAGCATGTGACATACTCTAAATCATTTTTTTTTATTCTATAGCTATATATATATATATATATATCAGATGCATGTTTTCCAATAATTTTAGTTTTTCTGCTGCCTGGAGCTTACTTTCACTCTTGGACGAAGGGTTTCGTAAGTATTTCTGAAATGTGAGATGGTCTAAAAATCTGCTGTAATTGTTTCATCTGTAGCGTTTGTCAGTCTTGGAAGATTTTTTTCCATGTTGTCATAGATTTCATTGTTCACTCAGGATGATTTTGTTTGTGCTCAAAGAGCTACTGTACTAAAATTCTGGAATGAAAGTAGCTGGTTTAGAAAATGCATTTCAAGTATTACTGTAGATGTCAACATAGCAGGTCGTGAATGACCTATGTGCATCATGCACTTACTTTATTAATGATACATTTTTGTGTTGTTGTTGTACATTATATAAACTGTCATTTTTATGCTGGAACACTCTGAACCATGTGATGTGATGTCAGAGTTATTGTGATGCTGGAAGCAAAAAAAAAAATCAACATGTTTGTGTTTGTCAGGTTAACAGTTACATGATGTTGTTGAACAGATCAGTGGAGCTGTAGGGAGTTTGAGTGACATGTTACATGGCACTAGTTCTTATAAAAAAAAAGGGGAAACATTGCTGTAAGAATGATGGTGGTTTCAGAGCTGTCATCAAGTTTGTCAAAAAAGGGAACAAAAAAAACTACATACGTGTTGAAACTCAACACCCGTCTCAACTGGTACATATTACGATGTGTCTGTATTTCTTTTTGGTTTTTGTGTTTGTCACTGTTTTGTCTTACCTTAAATCCATTTTTATTGTTTTTGTTTTTATAATTGCTGTTGAACAAATCCAATAATGCTGGAATAACTGTTACACTTGAACTGCTGCTGTTTGCTGGAAAACATATCAGGAGAAAAGTGATTTCACACTGTTGACTGTCTTAAAAAAATGTAATTAGAAAACAGTGGCTTTCTGTGAGTCATTTGTTGCTATTGCCACAAAATTACGTTAGATTATTTTTAGAAAATCTAATTTTATGATTTTTTTCCAACAGTTCACAATGTCCAGAACATGGCAATAAACTATGTATTTTTTTTAAATTTCATAAGTTCTATTAAATGATGAAAGAATCTGGAATTGTTTCACTAATTCAATTTGAGATGACTCATCTGATCTTTCTCATCATATTTTCTTTGTATTCAGGTTCCACAGTCCTTCAGCTCATGGGATCACGCAGCTTCCTTTCAAAATGAAAGTAGACATGAAGCCGCTCAGACCTGTTACGACTGACAGTAAAATTTCTGGCTGCAATTGTGAAGAGAAGGTTTTTTCTGTCTATGTGAGTGTGACAGGGCAAGAGAGTCGCAAGTCAGCAGCTGACACCTGCACGATTTCACAAGGAGACGTCCCACATGATAAACAGCTTAACGATTGTACACAGAGCTCAAAAGAAATCTTTTGCTTTGTCCTCCCACACAAGTCATCTACCAGTGAGGATGGATCCTGGTGAAGCTGGGAAATTGGACTAAAATGTAATTTATTTCCGTTGTTGTTGAGAATATCAGTTGTGAAGGAATTAGGCTTGTTTTTTTATTATTTGGTCAAATTTTTTTTTTTAACTACTATACTTACTGTTCCAACTTTACACCTATGAATCATCCAGTGAACTCACTTCATCTACTGTCACCACCTACACGGTATAACAGCCCGATACAACTTCACACATTTGCTCAAGTGAGTTTTGGACACAAAACTGCATCCCACAATTTATTTGTTTTTCTGCAAACGTCTCAACTGTATGGTTTCTCCAGAACTGCTCAGTTCCCATCAGGTTCATTCTGCTCTGTATGAAAAACCTACTATCTCACCTCGAGTTTAGCCTTCTGTCTTTTACAGGCCAGTGTCGGTATGTCTTCAAACCACTAATAAGTATTACTACTGCTTTTCTCCATTTTCATTTCACTCTCATATTCATTCTGTCTCCACTTATTTTTGTTTGCAGAATATTTTCACCTCCTTGGGGTCCTGTCCATTCCTTCCCTTGATTAATTCCATTGTATTTAAATGTTTCCGATTGCCTCACTGTTATTTACATTTTTTTCCCAACTTGTTTCTGATCCCTCTAGTGCAGACATCTCAGTGCTCTACAGTCCCTCTTCCACCAGCTCTGTTTAACATTCACTAAGACCTATGACATATTTACCATTAACATCCAAGCATGGAAATACAAGATGCACAAGAGAGAAGCAGAAGGGTGAATTCATGCAGGAAAACAATTCTGCTGAAGACACATTTTTTTCAGGGCAGTGCTTCACGTCCACTGTGAACCCAAAAATGATGCGTTTATAAAATGGTGAGTGGTAATTGAGGTCAAAGTTTTTCTTTGCTTATACTCCAACTATGTTATCTTTCTGAAGGCAGAGGATTGCAATAAAATATCAGATATCATTGAGTACTATTAGTAACGTTGTATGTTGTGTTAATTATTTTATTATGTTTATTATTATTTATTAGGTTTATTATTGTTTTTTTCCCCATAATAAAAGTGTGCTCTATTTGTACTTCCTCTAGATGCATTCCCACTGGGGACACAACCCTCATATTGAGATCCGTACTCATCTGCTCACAGGAACTAAGAGAAGTGAAAATCCATACCCACGATGGTTGTTTAAACTGCATGTGAGTAAAAAAAAAAGCATTTTAACATTTTTTAAAAAGATTTTAGCATTTAATGCTTTGTCGGTTTTAACCTTGTTCTTTATTTCACTGGTTACATGGTTTTGACCTTGTAGTACTTTTGATTTGTAGATTTTGCCCCAAAAATGCAGTCATTTATATATTGTTTTTGTTAATATTATAAAAATGTATGTTCCTACCACTGTTGATTCATTGCCATTTGGAACAATTTAGCTGACAAATAATAAACCAGACGAGAGGAGTTCTTAACAGAATTGTGTTAACATAATCCTTTTGATGCTCAAATCTCTTTCCCACTAATGGAGATAATCCTGAGCCTCCAGGCTGGTGGGGGATCTGGGGTAGAACTCGTCCAGGCATCTGAAATAATTTTAGGTTTAAAAAAAAAACAACTCCAAAGGTCGTCTAATGTTTATTTGAATTTGAATTTTTGAATACATGTTTAAAGGAAGCTTTACTTTATCCGATGCCGTACACATATAAATAAGCCTCTCAACTGGTCGTATAGTAGCTTCATCTGGACTAAGAGGCTAAAGTGACTGCGCAGAAGTTTTAAGAATGTGTTGACTGAAATTAGATCATCGAATCATCTCTTCAGCATGTGGTACAATCCATCTTATTTGTGAATACATACTGAATCGATGCAGCTTGTTGTAAGCTAATCACATGCTTACTACAGACATCATTGACTTTTAGCAGCAGGACAGTGTGGTCGATTAATGTCATTATTGGAGATTTGATGGACATTTTTGTTGTGGATCAAGAGTGAAATGTCAAAATTATTGATCAAACCTCCTGCTTCACCATTGACTGCTGTCAAAAACATGACCTTCTCTGTTGTTGTGAGAGCAAAAGGGCAGATTTACATAGGTAAGACAGGAAAATGCAACGTCCTGTAAAGAGTGATACAGAGCACTGGTCAAGAAATAATCAGATATGATTTGTCTGATAAGTTTAGTATTGATTTACGCATCTACTGATCCAAGACGGATAATGAGGAAAATTAATCTATTCACCAAGTAATAAAGTGGGGTGACAAAACAAGGAGAAGAATATAAACACTTGTGGTGTGTCTTTAGATGGAATGTAATATAATTACTTTATTTTGCAACAAGCTATGGTTGTATTGAGATTATTGGGAGAGACAGTTAATAAAATTCTGGTTAAGTCTACGTGGACCAAATCTTGCAAATAGGTCTGTTATGAAATTACCATGAAGCAGTTGTAGACCCGGGTTAAAGAAGTGTCACGCAGACGACTAATGATAGTGCAAGTCCTTAGCCGAAATAAATGATGAGAGAATTTAAAATAGCTGTGAGGCCGTTACCTGACTCTCATGAACTTTAGTGCAGAGAGGCTCTGCTGTCGTTACGCCCCAGGTGTTATCAGCACATTAATATCCCTGCCTGTGTGACTGCAGATAGTCCGCTAAGTGTTCCATTTTGAAGCGAGTGGGAGTAGCTGATGTTTCATTGGTGAAGTGAAGGAGAAGAGAATTAGCTCCTAACTCAAAGTCCCTCTTCACCCTTTGTAACCACGAGGGCACTGCATGACCCGAATACAAAGCAGTCAATTTGTTGCCATGCAAATCACTCCCTGCTGAGTCATCTCATCTGAACATAGCCAGTCTGTAGGTGGCGCTGATAAATTGATTCTAATTTGCCTGCCATAAAGAGACGACTTTTCATTTTTCAGCTGTTATAATTGCTCGCCGCATGAAGTAGCAAACGGGGTCAACAAGGTCAAAGCGCTCCAGCTGTAAACGGCAACAATTTATCAGTGAGTAGATCAAAACAAGCATGTACTTTTGTCCAAATTTTGTCTTCTCTTCTGGGGCAGTCAAGGTCGGGTTTATGTATCAACACATTTTGCTATGATTTGTTTTGAGTCAGATCTTACTCTCCATTTGGGAAAGCCCATGCTGTTTCCCCAATGCTTTTCTGGGAAAAGGCATGAGTGGCAGTAATTGGTTTTCCACTCTTTTTTTTTTTTTTTTTTCAGGAATAGCTCTATCTCACCGTCACAGGTACCTCTAAAAATACCACACAGAGGAAACGACATCCTGCAATACTTACTGTACAGTACTGTGTAGGTTTTAGTGATGGCTATACATTTACTATATACAGGACAAAGTGTTGGGAGCATTTTGGTTTTTAATGTATATATGAGCGAACCAGTGTAAAGAGCTAAAAACCAACATTTGAATTTATGCACAGAAACATTTCATATTGTCTAGAACAAACTGAGCAAAAAGGATACTTTTTGAAAGTCAGTTCTTAGTCGATGCCCAGCAGCTGTTTACTCTGCTGGCCACAAAATAATTAATTTATAATCTCATCATTTGAATTAGTCCCAAATAAAGGAGAAAAACACATACATCTTCTCATTTAGCAATATTTTAGTTGTTTTGTCTGATCAAATTGTGATTAATCATAATTAATTGTGACCGTGATTAATCCGCAGCTACTCTGAGATTAATAATTTGGATCAATGACAGGCCATGACGTGAAGTGGGTTTTTTTCCCCATGTACTACTGTAATACATTTGTTAATGGACGAGCTGTCTCTCTAATTTTGATATTTTATCTCTGCCGTCTGTTGCGCTGCTCGATGAAGCTTGACTTAAAGCCATTCTCTCTCCATCAGCGTCAGCTGGAGCCAGTGGAGGAGAAATGAGGCAGCACTGTCTGTACGTGGGCAGGGTGTGTAACAGGCTTGTTCATGACTGAGTGATGGGCCCAGTTATCTTATGGTCTAGATCCTGATCGCTGCGAGTGTCTTTTGCTGCAGAGAGAAGGCTCTTTGTCTATTTTTATCATTAAAACAAAAAACAAAACAAAAAAAAACACGATGAGTGGCACTAAGCTTTTTAGCCAATCTCAAGGTGTGATTGTCCATTCTTCAGTAAAAAGAAATAAAGGAGCGTGATGTAATGCGTTAGCTCAGCCTGAAAACATTACTGAAAAACATGAGATGAGGTGTTGAGAGTTACTTAACTTCTCTTCCTGATAATATTTCTTTGTGGGAGTAAAATCAGTGCATGAGCCTCCATGAAAAGACATGCATGACTCATTGTCTTTGTGATGTATTATTACACTGAGGTGCTTTTATCTTCTCACACAATGAACCTGAGATATAATAAACCTTAGGAGCCTCATTGAGACTTCATGGAGAGAGGAGGACATACATGATCGTTTATCAGTAATTTAGGACATTAAGAATCCAAATCAATAGATTACTTTTTTTTCTTTGGGTCAGTGTGATTGGCCCCTTTTTTTCCCTTTTTGCATCATCACATTTAGACCCATCATGTCGGTTCGGATGGGAGCCACAGGAGGTTGGAGTCGTTCAGCTGTGTGCGGCCGAGCAGTAATGTATTGTCGTTTCTTTGTCCTCCATTTCCGTTGTCTGCATTAGATTTGTACCCGTATTATTACCAGTTGTTAAAAGAAAAGATATCTTTAGTACTGCTGATGAAATGGAACCAAAGTCACTATGTTTTTATCTACAATGTTTGGAAACTGTTCTATTGTTCTATCTATCAGCAGACAACAAGGTCAGTTTTACTTTTACTGCTTTCTATTACTGTTATCAGAGTCTTGCTGGATGGAGGCTCAGGAGAAATTGCCCTTAAAGTACCCTTGAAGTTCTTATTAAAGGGCTGTTTTATAACCACCTACAATATATATTTACCCTAATTAATAACCTAACCTATTTAACTTAATTAAATATAGTTAGAGGGAAAAGGTTCACGTAGAGTTCCAAACAAATAATGCCATATGTTCTATATATATTCCATATTCTTAAAAGGTAAATTACAGCTCATTTAGAAGTGGACAAAACAAAACATAACGTTATCCTTAACGAGTCCACAAACAACTAAACAATACCAAAAGTTAGCTCAGATGGCAGAAAGGTACAAAAATAACTTAAAACCAATAAAAAAGCTAGTTATTCATGCAAGCCAAGAAATTCACCACAGGTAACAATAGCTAAAAAAAATGGCAGAAAATATGGATTATTTTTGAGGTTTCTGTGGTTAAGGTTTGTCAAAAGTTAGCTAAAGTCCAACCATTAAGGGAAAACAAATCACAAGTAAAAATGTTGAAAGAAAAGGCAAAGGAAAATCTTAATAAAATCTGGATGATAGCTGCATGTTGGATTATACCTTGCTAAATGACAAGTAACAAAAGGTTAATGAGAAATTATTAAATGCCAAGATTGTTCTAAAAATAATACAGATTGCTAGGGTTACAGTAATCAAATTATAGTTATTCTTTAAATAAAAAGTATTTTTTGAGCAATAGGTAAAAATGGCTCCACAAAAGCCATAACTCAGCTAATAGTTAAACTTAAAAAAAATCTAAAGATTTAAAAAAAATCTTGATTAAGCTGAAATCAAAGCAAAAATAAGCTAAAAGTTAGTCGTTGAGAAGGCTGAAGTCAAATGAAGTGTTTATGTTGCTGTGTTGATGAGCCGCCGTCCTTTTATTATAACGCTGGTCCAGAGATTTAATGGAGCAGGAAATATATCAGTTTAATACACCAACACATTTGTGAGACAGTGTGTTAAGCAGTGATCCACAGGGCTTTACCATCGCATATCTTTTGTATTGCAAGAATTGCATCAGTTCTTCATTGTCAAAACTTACACCTTCAAATTTCCCACAGTAGAGTTCAAAGAAGGAGAATTTTTCACACAGTTTTTCTGCACAGGTAACAAGGTTTAAAGTTACTTTTCCAATAGTCGGCTCTTCATCAACTCAAAGATTAAAATGCATATTTTTTTTCCTTTAACTCCTGATCAGCATTGTGTACAACAAAGAACTGCTGTTCCCTGATCCCTTTTTGTATAATACAATGAACTGTATGCCTTTATGCATCTCTGTTTGATTGTCGTCTTATGTAGTTACAGTACAAAGAATCATGGGAAGACAGAGTGCCTCCTCCGAGCTCTCAGGGACCGCTGAGTTGATGTGATGCCAGGAAATGTTCTCAGCTGCTGTGTGGGAACCAACCCTGCTATTTTCCTTCACTGTGGCCTCAGTCCACTGTGACAGTGTGACAGGTAAGAGTTGTTCTGTCTGTTTTTTTTATACTTTGTTTTTCTAATATAATAAGTAAAATAAATTATCTGGTTTAGATAAAAAGCAGTAGATGTGTAATTAAATAGCATTTGTTTAAAAAATACAAACATCTCTTCAAGGAAATGTCAGAGTTTAATATAATTATATAATATAATAAGTAGCACTGCATTAGGACAATCATAAGCCTGGATATAATGCTTTAAAAAAATAGCCTCCAGATATCAGACAGCCTTGAAAAGGCTGTGGCATTTCAAACATATTAATCATTTTTCTCTTCAGATTATAGAGGAAATAATTGACAAGACCCAGAAGGACAATCTTTGTAAAAACACATAGAGCACAAGACCAGCATTACAAGGAATTAATAGATAAAATGATGAAACAATATACAGCAGATCCAACAAGATAGAAACAGCTCCACAGAGTACCTATATTGAGTGTCCTTGTATGTCATTAAGAGGGTGCTGGGCATTTGGAAAGTAAACACTTTAGACGAGAAAAGTTTTTCTACTATGATTAAAAGAGTAGTCTCTGTTTTAGGTTGATGGAGTTGCACCAGCTCTAGTCTGGGCAGATCAGAAATGAAGTGGCTCTGGGAGCTGGTTAGTGCTCTTGCCTTACAGCAAGAAGATCAGTGGTGCTAGCACAGGTCCTTACTAATGGTCTTTCTTTCTGAGGTTTGCATGTGGTTTTTACACTGACTTTGCAGAGAAGGTATAGTGATATACAGTAGTGACATTACTCACAGGCCTCATACAACCACAGCTAGTGTATATGTTAAAATTAAAACCCAAGTTGCTTCATTTGCACCTGGTTGCTCAAGTGGCATCGTGCGAGCACTGATGGCAGTTGTCTGATAGATAAGTGTTGTAGGATTGAGTGTGAGGGTTTATCATGTCGAGTGGCCAGAAATCCTAAGAAAATCTTAAGTACAGCTGAGACTTCACAACAGGGACACAGAGGACAGGGAAATGTTAAACCCTCTTGTTGTTCAACTGTTTTTAAATGTATTCCTATATTAGGTAAGTGTTTCACTAAATGATGAGGCTTTTGGGAGTCAGTGTGAGGTTTGTGACGTACACTGCTGCAAAAATACATGGTCTGGTGAGCTGGTTTCTTTTGTTCCTGTGCTCTTCATACATCTTTGTATATCTTCATCATGTCACACACCCATTGTAATGTCACGCTCTGTGTCTGTGATATCCTACCAGAGAAAAGTCATCGCTGTAAATACACCACCATGTCCTTCATATCTCAGTGATTCCAATTCTCTGCACACGTCCAACTCTCAAAATAAGTCCTGTCCTTATTCCAGTCCACCTTCAGCAAGAAAGTTACCGTGGTCATCATCAGCAGCAGCTCCTCTGCCCTGTGGAAGTAATGCAGACTGTCAGATCCTCACTGGCAGAGGGGATGAGAGGCTGCTGATTACACTGATTAGTTCCACCTCTCTGGGTGAAGTCCGTGTGATCAGATGCTCCAGAAACCTGTAGCTGATTCGCTCCCCTCTGTGGCAGCAAACGGAGAATCTGTGTCCAACTCATTTTGTGATCTTTCCCAAGGATAAAGTGAATAAAACACATTTCCTCCATCCAGCAACTTTGAAGCTGTGCATTAAGTACAAATCAGCCATGACCCATGTCAAATGTGTGAATTGTTTCGTTTCAGTGAGTCAAGGTAAAAGCTGCTGCGTAGAGGCTTGCCACATCACGTACATGCAATATGGCAAACAACATCAGAGTTTCTGCTCTGACACAGTTTTTTTTTTTTTTTTTTTTTGGCTTTTTTTTAAACAAAGATTGCGATTAAACTAGATGCAAAACAAGCATTAAGCTTGACTCAGTCAAAAAGCACAACACATTGTGAAAATACATCAACCAGCCAATAATAAACACTGACAAATTTTTACAGTGTCAAAAACATTCACATTCACATAAATTTGTGTAAAACCGTTTGTTACGACAATGTATATGAATTAAGGCAGTTAATCCATTCATAGTCATGATTAATAATTTATCACAATTAATCATGATTAATCAAAGTCAACTGCCATTGATAAATACGATAAAAACACTTTTGTTGTAAATTGTTGGAATGGAAAGACAAATAATAGCAAGATATTTGTGTTTCATACCTGTTTTTATTTGTGACTAATCCAAATTATGGAATTAGTAATATGGAAAAATGTCAGGAATAGTTTGCAAAAGCATAACTCCAATCATGTGAAAAATACTAAATAACCATGTGAATTTGTTTTGTTTTTTTTTTTATTAATGAATGGCTTCTACTCATTAATGTGCATATTAACGGTGGTTTGTAGAACTGATGGAGAGTTGTTTTTATTGACGTTTATCTGTTTCAAAATGATAATTTTAAGTTAAACTTTTAAATTTGTTTTATGTACTTTAGGTACTTCAACAGTTTTATCTGCAAAGCTAGTAAATTTGAAGATGCACCTGAACGTGTCTGAATGTTGTCTGGTGTGTACCATCTGTCCTCTCTCGGACAGTTTATCCCTTACAGTGCTTTACAAAACCCACATTCATCATCTCAAATCATTTACAACTGAGAGCATAACTAATGCCCCTCAGACATGGTGTCCTGTAACTCAGGATTATTTGACAGCGATCATGTGGAATAAAACGGGTGTCTGAGCAACAACACTTCAGAGTTTTTACAAAACATTCACACAGTCGTTCATATCTGAGGGCTCTGTCACTGTAACTTTACACTTCTCAGTGTGACAGAAGCCCCTGAATTGGTTTTCACATCGCCTTCCACACCTCGTCAGTCAAACATTGGTGCAGTTAGTGGAAGGCGGCGTCTCCGCTTTGCTGCGGATCTCCTTAATGTCGATGAGCGGAGAGTCACTGGTGCCAATCTGACACTTGAACACCTGTTTGTAGGCCTTCCTGAAGTTCTCAGACAGGAAGGCGTAGATAACTGGGTTGACGGAGGAGTTGCTGTACGCCAGGCAGTGAGCGGCCACCCGTAACACAAACGACGCCTGGTTGAGTGGGAAGCTCCCAAACTCCGCCCACAGGTGAACCACATGATGGGGCAGCCAGGAGAGACAGAAGACCACCACCACCACCAGCACTGTCTGAGCAGTCTGGGATCCAAGGACACGTAAGTAGGAAGAGGACAAGAAACACAAAAGAAGTTTTAGTCACTGCCCTCAGGACAACAATGAAAACATTAACATGCAGTCTTCAGGTCCGGGTATCAGACAGGATAAAAGAACAACATAAGGTGTTAAGAGGTTACTGCCCAGAGACCTGTGTTAGTATTCTGCTCTGTCTCGACTGATGTTTTATTATAGTCTCCGTCTCCTTTGTCACAGTTTGCAAAAGCCAGACATGTACGTTTTGTTTGTAGCTGTATCAACCTGATGTTTTCATTATTGCATTCATGTTACTGAATAATTGTTTTCCAGTACAAACAGAGGAGGATTTTAGAATGTGTCACTGGCTGAAAAAAGTCAGTCACTCTGCTCTCAGCACAGTTTCTTTACCACATTCTCTACCTTCCTGTTTAACAGAAAAACGTTTAGAGTAAAAATATCTTCAGAGTTTATGGAAATAAAGACTTTAACATCAAATGTTTACATATTTAACAATGCAGGACAGTGTGGCTTTACTGTTGTCAAGGTGCTGGAAACTTGTGTAACAATTTTTTCTTTCCAAAATTATGCCCTAGTAAAATAATTTAACTGCAGAAAATGAGTTAAATTTACATTAAAGAAAAAGATTTTCCTGCTTTCACTTAACATTTTAATAAAGATTTATTAAAAGTTAATCATAAAATGCACTAATAGCACCACATATAGTGGAGGAAGGGAAGCTACATTCACCCATGTATCCATTCTCTACTTTTTATTACTTTTCTAGGGACGTGGGGAGGCAGTGGAGCCAATCCCAGCTGTCAACAGGTCAGGGCGGTGTACACCCTGGGCAGCTCCCCAGTTACTGGGCCACATGAAGAGACCAACCTTATACAGCTGTGGTTAATTAAGAGGGTCCGATCAAGCTAATCCCCTAGTTGCCATGAAGTTTGGACTGTGGGAGGAAACCAAAGTCCCAGATGAAAATGCTAACTTCATACAGCAAGATTGACCAGTAAGTTGCTTCCTATATATAATAATAGCAATATAATAATTTGTATCTGCATATGGAACACACACATTTAGTCCAATGACTTCCCATTTGTTAGAGTGGAAACATGGAAGACTTTATTACAGTGACTTATGTGATCATTTTAAGTTTACTAAACTATTTTAATGCACTGTCAAAGAGGTGAGTGGTTCATGTTTCCCCGTTATGTTGGGCAAAAGTGTATCAGTAAAGCCAAAGGCTACAGCTGGAAAGTGTCATAAAAAAAGAAAGACCTAATTATATGCTGCCTGTTCTGCTGGGCCACTCCACTGCATTTCATAATCGCAAGTGAATTTACTCAGAAATAATTCGATCATCAAGACTGAAAACTTTTATGGAGTTGTACTCGAGGAAACCAATGAAGGATAACTAAATCACAGAGACACGATAAACTTATGGTGACGATTGTGTCATATCAACACAACTCTACAGGGGCAGTAAATCAAACACAGTAGCTGATCACTTCAGGCTGTTCTGCTCAGTTCTCCTTGTGACCTTGGATAAGTAATACTACACTAACCAGACCCTTCGGAGTAACACTACTTTGTTTGCACTGGTTTTTCTGCTCTGTGTCAGTCCTGTTTGGTTCAGTTCCACAGCTTGCATCAGTGTCAGGCTGCCCGTGTAGGTGGAAACTCTGACACTAACGTTACTTAGTTTGCTCAATGTGTAAACAAACTGGGGCCAACAGACATGTTTGCAAAAGCAATACATATTTCAGAGAGTTGTGTTTAGTTTGTGCAGCGTGCCAAGTATGCCCACAAAGGAAAAGTAATGTCTCAGATGTCTCCAGACTGAAGAACACTTATGATGAAGTGACAGATTCAACAGTGTCATGGGTCAGACTATCACAGTAAGATCAAAGAAATGTATTACATTTTAACACAGCATTGCTATAGACACATTTCAATAAAGACTTTTTGACAGAACATTGTGCCCAAAACCATGGCTTAAAAGTTAAAAGAAAATGGCTAAAGTAAAAGAGTGTAATATAAAATAATACATAAGCTTAATATGTCAGTATGAAATAAAATAGTTGTAATCAGGATTACAAAATAATTTAAAAAAAGTCACCCTCAGAAAATGGCCTGAAGTCAAACCAGGGATAGCAAAAGTTAGAGGAAACATGATAATACATTTGACAACAAAAGTGATTTTAAAAATGTTTTAGTATCATGTTTCACAAAAAGAAACTGTGGTGATATTTTACTTTTACTCACCATCAAAATTAGTTTTCTCAAAGTATGAATTATGAGTGCGTTTGCGTTTAATGCATGTTGTATTATCCCTTGCCACAAAAATCCTGAATAACCAAAACAATTTTACTTTTGGTGCTGCTGCAGCCAAATGGCCAAAGTGATTATGAAGCTGCACAAATGTTTCTGCGAATTCATTAGAAAAAAAAAAGTGACTTGTGACCATAACATTAAATTATGTTATATTCCATTTGTGGCAGTATTGCTTTTTTTTAACCGATAAATCTGTAATAAGAGTGCTTCTCATCAATCATACTATGGACAGACAACTGGGACAGGACTTTATGCAGGGTGAGAAGGTCAATATTGGCTTTAATTAACAGCCTTGACACTCACACACACTCACACACATACACACAGGTTCCCACAGTGTTGATGTGACAGTATGTTAACAGCCTTGCTTTATTTGGATTACCTCCAGAACACATTAATATCTTCACCTCCTTCCCCCGGGAGCCATCAGGCCAATATAAACAGTAAGAGCCTCGCCGCCACAGGAAGTGATAACATGGAGTATTAAAATTGTATCAAAAAAATCAAACAATAAAACTTGTGCCTTTTGGCCTTTTCTTTCCAGCAGTATTTTCTCATCTTGTAAACCTCAGTTGTAGAATGTACTGTTGCTGCAGTGTTTTTAATATTTAACTGTTGCACAGAAGAATTATTCCAGTCAACAATTGTATTATTGCTGCAGTAACAGTCAAACGAAAGCATTCGATGCAAGTAGAAAAGCGTGTGAATGAATGGGGTTTAGATGGTAGAGTTGAAGATGCTGAGATCTTATATTTGAGTGAGAAGGATGGACAGGATTAGTATAAATAAGCAGATTATAGGGTAGGGGACAGTTGAGCAGCTTGGAGATAAAGTTAAAGATGGATTGGACACTTGCTGAAGAAGGACAGTGGATATATTGAAATGGAGCTGCCAGGCAGGGACGAAATGATTCACGGACGTGCCAGTGAAGGGACAATGTTAGCAGGAGGCAGAATGATGCACTGTGGCCATAAGTGGAGGAATAGCAAACGACCTCTGCCTTTAGGGGACCCAAGCACTGCAACCCAAGACATATTATATTAAAATGACTGCAGGTGGGAGTGGGTTGACAGAGATACAGCGTACTGTAGGTAGTGCTACATTTCTCCGGGCTATATATATTAACATTATGTGCAGATCAGCTGTGTTGAGTCAGTGAAGGCATCATCATCATGACTACTGGTACTTATTGCTTGTTATTTATCTGCATGTAAATGGCAGTGACACAAACACAAAATAGTCTGTGTTTAACCTTGATCATCCAATAAAACTATTAATTAATTGTATTTAATATATATATACATATATTCTCTAAATACATGTAGAACAATAATATATGTAATAAACAGAATCATCATCATAATCATGCTGCAAGATAAACAGCAATAGACTCAAGCCATTTTGGTACCTGAGGTGAGATTTGCTGCCCTTCAGAGACTACATTAAAAAAAGTCTTGATTGATGGTGAAAAATAAAACACCAATATTTATCACCCCCACTGAAATTGTTTTTATTCTTGTGCAGGGTTAAAACTTCCCCACCTCCAGCAGATGGCACCCTAGACAAGAGCTGGCTCTGATTCACAGGTTGTAAAGGTAATTCTGTAATAAGTTTTATTTTCTTTCTGCAATTTGCAACTCATCTACTCAACCAATTGACAAAATCATTTTTTTATATATATATAAAAATTATTTTGGACCCTGCGTGCTAATTGCTTTACTTTGACTTTCATGAACTCTGGTAGAGCATTTACAATATTAACACGCATTTGACAATAGTAACACTCAGGCATCTGTGACACTGCAGCGTCAACAGGCAGGGATTTTTGGGGCCACTCAAATATTCGCAATCCTCATTTCACATGACTCTGTTAATCAAAGCGAAGAAGGCTCGTCAAATATTAACTTTTATTACCAGAGCTCTCATCTAGAATGGGTTCTGTCTGGATGTCTGGCTCACACCCACCATTATGTGAGATGACCCAGTGAGACCGCAGTGATAATTTCATGGTTTTAAAAAAAAAAAAAGCAGTGAGAATCCAATGAAAATATAATTGTTTGCCAAGTCAGGTGGATATTGGTGTTCCTAAGAAGATTATTCAGCCGCTAAGGCTTTAAAGCTAATAAGTAAAAAAAAGTCAGCCTTTCTTTGTCTGAACATGACATGAAGGCAAGAAAAGGTTAAGAGATTTCTCTAAAAAACAGATTATTCACATCTTTGCACAAAGACCCGGGCGATTAGGGAACGATTTCGAGCGTTGCTTTACTTGGAGAGTTGGTCTTTGAGAGTGACTGTTGGAGGCTGACTAATTCCTACAGTGGGGGTATAAGGGTAAGAAAACCGCAAAAAGTTTGTGGAGATTCATTTCACAACAGCAGTGGGAGTGACCTTGCTCTTCCCAGCTGTCACTGACATGATGTCCCACACAGGCCAGGTACAGATGTAGCACACAAGCTACTGATTAAACACCCTTGTTTCTGAACACATTTCTGGCAAGAACATGATGTTCATTCATTATATACTGCCTTGGCGGCAAAGGTGACAGTAACTTCTTCAGCATTGTTGTCTTGGAGATAATGATGTTTCTTTAAGTTTAGAGACAGATTAAATAAATAGAAATGCTTGTTTTTTTCTGCGAGGAAAAACATGGACTACAGTAAAAGGTCGACTGCCGCATCTTCCTAGTTCTATTCCTACAGGGGCATGGTATCTCCAACTTTTAAAGAAAGACAAACGTTGTCAATCCTGTGCCAAATTAGCTGTGATGCTGCTGCGGCTGGCAGCTACATCAGAACAAAAATTTGACTCTAATGTTCTTTATTCAGATTAATGAAATCCAGATGTAAACGGCTTAAAGAAATACCACTTTAAACAAGTGTATAAGAGGGTGAATATATTATTTGTGTGTACCAAGACCATGGTTAATTTAAAGTCATTGTTTACATAAACAGTAGAAAAATACAAAACCATTCTACTATTTCTCTTGTAAGCTTTCTGTTGTTAGCACTGGCTCTGATAGCACCCCCTGCACGGGAAGAGATAAGTTAGACGTTTGCAAACTGCTGATTTCCTGGAGTTGATAAGATATTTTTACTTCAATATGGATTTATGATCTTGAAAATCGGTGCTGTTGTAGTGATTTTGCTTAGCTTGATATAAAAAAGCACAACATATTTACATTCTGAACAATGTCAGTAGTCCTGAGATTAGGCAAGGGCCAAAAAAAAATTATTATTTATATATTTTGACATCATGTTTTATTGGGTGTCAAGAGTCACCAAAAAGTCATTAAAAAAGGGAATAAATCCATGTAGGAGGAGTTCAGAATTCAAGGTCGCTATCATCTTGTGTGGAAATTAGAGCTGTTAAAGTTTGGTTTTTACCTTTTTGGGTTTAGTTTTGAAATCATGTCTGGATAGATCCAGATCCCACACTTAATTTGGAGCTTAAGTATTATCCAGCACAAAACGATTTGAAATCCTCCGCAGGACTAGACAGACGGACGCGTGTAGATAAATAGATCAATAGAAAAAATATTAGGGAGAAACATCATCCTTCACAGGTCCTGCAGTAGAAATGAAGCAGGCGGAAAAATCCTTTTGAAGCCACGAATTGTAGCTGCTGTAGCTGGGGCGCTCAAGATGAAAAACAATGTGTGAGAAATGATTTTTCGAACACTTCCCTGAGCCAGGAGAGGAGGAGTCAATGATGTGGCTTCAGTTCTCTTTGAATTTACTGTTATCTCTGGGAAACCCATCAGCATCATAATGATCCAAGTGTTTTCAGATCATGATGAAAGCAGAATGTTTTTTAAGTGTTTTTGGACCAATTGGAATGGTGTAACTGAGTCATAGTAATAGTAGGTATTATTTTTCTCTTCAGATTAGAGTGATACTGTGAGAATGTTGTTCTGGTCAATGACTGTAAAGGTGTGCAATCTACAGTGGAACATGTGTTAATGTTCTAGGGCATACGTGTCAAACTCAAGGCCCGGGGGCCAAATGCGGCCTGCCAAGCCATTTTGTGTGGACCACGGGAGCTCAAATAGCATTTAATAAAGTCTGTGCAGCAGAGTTTATTAACCTATTAAAATTAAAAGTTTTTTTTTAATTTATTACACAGTGATGAACACTATTTGTAGCTTGAATAAATAGTAATAAATTGCAGAAACATGTATTTGTCTGTTATGGAGTAGCTACATCAATACCAACGATCCCTGACCTTTTTTGTTCCAAGGACTGGTTCCCCATACCACCCGTTACTACAGACTGGTACCAAGGTGCTGGGCATTGAAGGTTCATTAAATTTTCAAAATAAAACATCTCTCAGACTCTATTCTGTTTGAAGCTGAGTCTAAATGACTTTTATTTTAAAATATTATCAGATTATCTTCAAATAAAGAAAGTAAATGGATATGACTGGATTTTCTTTGAATTAAGTAAATTAGGAAAAACTAAGCAAATATTTTCACTGTGTTACACTGCGGCCCGGTACCGTATGACCTATGGACTTGTACTGGTCCACGAACCAGGCGTTGGGGACCCCTGATCTATACAGTCTTTCATTTAAAACCAGCCCTTCAACAGGAACTGTATTGCTGATGTTGCCCGGGGTGAAAATGAGTTTGATGCCGCTGCTCTAGGGTGACCAGAAAGCTGTCAGTCACCAAAGTCACAGAGGGACCTGTTATATAATAGGCTTTTTGGGGGTTTTTTTTTTCCTCAAATCATAATTTTTGTGCAGCTGCAGCATCATACTGAACTCACAGCGTTAAAAAAGCAAACTGCTTTTTCAACGCTATTTTGCCTTTTGTTTTTAATCGTTCACTAATACAATGTTAATGTATTAATATACCATTCTTTGTACCTGTACCAGAAAAGTGTCATCTCTGTTTTATTCAGAGCTGTCAAAGATAACATTATTTGCAGCCCAGGTCCGGCATTTCTAGTGCTTCTACTTGGCTCACATATGGCTTGGAGTTATGACACAGGAGAGTTCATTCTTGTTTATTAGATCAAAGCCTAATAGAGTTGTCACATTTGCCAGATATGGGACACAAGCTGGCCAGAGGTTTGACACGTCAGCCGGAAGCCAGCTCGGCTGCACCATTGTCAGAAGTGGGCAACTTTGAAATGATTTTCTGGATGGATCTCAACTGTTTAAGCCTTGGGACATTCACCTGGGTGCTGAGTGGCAGCACCATTTTTGAAGCTCTCAATTTATTTCAATGAGCTAAAGTAAAGTATACATCACCTCTGAAGAAGGGCTGACTTTGTTTAAATAATTACCAGATTTCAGAAAAATATGTTGTTGTGCTTAAGAATGGGCGTTCCTCTCTGTCTAATCCTGTAAATGATCCCGTCCATTCTAATATAATTTTCTTGAATAAACAAGTTGCACTTTAGAGCAGAAGAGAAGTGAAGCCAGTGTTGGAAAAGAAAATATTAGCAGTAAGTGTTGAGTGTTGTTATTGAGGAACATTGAAAACAGCATTATCTAGTCATTTTGGGCCACAACCCTTTCTGCAGCTACAGAAACAGCTCACCACCAAGGGCAACTATAGTTTTATATAAATAGAATAGAAGTCTGTAGAAAAGGATGTAAAATTATAGCTGCTCAGTAGGGAGTTAATGGCTAGAACAGCTGATTTAAGGTATTTTTAATAGAACACAATGTCAGTTTTATAAGTTATGATCCCATTTCGTGGGAAATAGAGGACAAAGCACTGATAACCAAACCTGAACTATGGCCCATCAAATCAATGTTTGTATCCGTAGGAGAGTGTGAAATAGTTTTGTAGTGTCTGTAGCTTTGGTTGGATCTAAGTATTTGGTGATAACCCAGTCACTGTGATTTACACTGTGCATCGTAGCCTGGGTTTCATGGGCTTATTTCCAGTGGATTCTCACAAACCTGTCAGCATAACCACATCTCCATCTGTGCCCTTTCAGTTAGCACTGCAAATCATCAGTATATGTGAGCTTCCTGACATTTGCTCTCATGGTTGTTTGAAGTTCACTGTAATAAAGCTTGGGCGTAGGTGTGTATCAAACACATTTATATTCCCAGCAACCCTTGCACTCTCAGGTGGCCTACAGTCATTACTACTGGCTTCAATGCACAAGGCAATTATCTGGGTGGTGTTGCTAAACTGACCGTCCGTGAAGAACAATGGACAGATAGATAGAGGGTCAGACGGCACGATGGACAGTGTAGCGTGCAATAGTAGATACCTGCTATCATGCAAGCGTTATTGAGACGAGAAATGAGGCTGTAAGTTGATCATACTTTGCCTCCGGGTCGTTTTGGCCTGAGTGATCATAAATGTTATGGCTTCAATAATCAAAACCTTGGCTGCGTAAACTGATGCGATGAAGGCACAACATGGCACAGCATGAATGATGGTGGTTGTATTTTTTATTTTTTTTTTCATGGCAACTGACGTCCATAAAGTTGTTTTCGTGCGTTCTTGAGAATTCATTCATCCATTTGTTCTCCATTCTTTTCACTCTTCTCTGCATCATGAATATGACATTAACCATCTACTGCACCGTTCTAAAGGCCAGGAACCTCAGCCTGTGCTTTAGAATCGAATCATGTCAAAGGACAATCAACAAAGATAAACAGAAACCGAATTAAAGGCATGATATATGGATAATCATTTTTATACGTCTTAGAGGCAGATGAAGCACACCTTAATTTAGATGATCAGAAGGGCAATTTAAAGGAAACATTTATGCCCTAAGGGTTTTTTTTTCTATTTATTTATTAGAGCATCATTTCACAGGATTATAGACATCAAACTTCATTAATGTTTGAGCCAAAGCAACAGGTTGGAAAACTAACATCTAACTGAAGTAGGAAAGATCAGATGTTGGAAATGGTTGCAAACAAAAGAAAATGTAGAAAAACATGGTTATTAATCAAAATACCAAGCAACCACTGTCAGTTTATTATTATTATTATTCATTATAGTCGGCTTCAGAGGGATCTGGCATGGAAAATATAACATGTATTCTTCTAAGAATGTGGATAACAAAGGAGGTGTTTTGATTCACAGGGACACAAAAGAACTGCGCAGACTGTCATTGTATATATGATAATGTATGATTCCCCTTAACTAGGTCAGACCTTGTCACCATAATAAACAAGAAAATATATGTCATTCTGCTTACCTTTTTCTTTGATGCCTCTGACTTTTTGGACATATTTCTTAGTTTTTTGTGCAAGTGATTTAAAACCTGTAAGTGAGAAGAAAAAAAACAGATAAATTACCCAGAATTGTCCAGCTATTCCCATGACTAGTGAATGCCTCGTGGATGTTCTTACCTTGGCATAACAGAAGGAAATCAGCAGCAGGGGTAGGACATAGCCAAAGACAAAGGTGCAGACCACATAGACCTTCTTGTGGTTCTCATTTGGCCAAATCTCCCAGCAGAACGTGTAATTATCACTGTGGAAAATGTTCTGGTAGTACATGATGGGCGCAGCCATAGCCAGAGAAAGTATCCAGATCACCACAACTCCGATCAGAGCGTGCCTCGCCACGCGGATGGTGGAGGACTTTCTTGAGTGAACGATGGCAATGTATCTGTCCACGGACATGGCAGAGAGTGTGAAGATGCTCACCAGCATAGACACGGTGAAGAAGTAGTGGATGAATTTACAGATGAACGCGCCCAACACCCAGGACGGCATCATGTAGATGGTGGACTGGAAGGGGATGCAGAAGAGCAGATAGGAGAGGTCCGCTATACTCAGGTTTAGGATGAAGATGTTGGTGGTGCTCCTCGGTTTCCCCGGTTTGCTCCGGGCCAGCACGGTGATGACCATGGAGTTCCCGAGAACACCGAGCGTGAAGATGAGCCCGAAGACCAGCAGTGTAATGAAATTATCCGTGCCGATGCCGAATAAAAGTTTCTGCTCCTCTTTCTCTGCCATGGTGAAGTTCTCATACACGCAGTCGGTCTCTGAGAGGTTCATTTTTGGTTGCTGGTTCGGCGACTCCTTTATTTGAAACTTAAGTTGCAGTAACGGACCTGTGGAAGGTCTGTTTTCAGAGCAGGGTGGTTCGATTCGTCTCCATTTGCGCGTGACCGCACACAGTTTGTTCTGTTCTCTCTCACACTTCAGAAGACCATATGTTTGTTTCCCCACATCTCATTCCCCTAACAATAAAACTAACCCAGTCTTCTGAGTCGATTTGGTTGCAGTGCATTCGTCAGTCGTGCGTTCTGGAGACCGGCGCTCCTGTTGCGCGCCTGATGCGTCCGCGCTCCGACTGGCGGCGAATCCACTCTGTTCTCTCTCTCTCTCTGCGTCTGGACTTTTCCTCTCACGATATAGCAGGGGTTGGGCTGTGTCACGTCAGCACCCATTAGACCACCTCCCAAAAATCATGGGTGGTGAGGGTTGTTTTTCTTGCTCTGTTTTTTTTTTTTTTTTTTTTTTACTTCGGAATGATCCCTGGATTTTCTTACCAAAAATGTCTACTTTTGATATCATCTGGGCTGCGTGCATAACTTACAGACTTAAAACAGCCACAGACCTGTCATATTCATATAGATTATAAACAACATTCTGTAGTCTGCCATGATCCTCTTAATTCCGTTCTATTTGGCTTTGTACAGGGGAGACTGTGGGAGGAGATTTCTCTTTTCTTTTTAATATATATATATAAGAATGACATCTTCCTCAATCTCATTTCTTAGTAAAATCATGTTTATAAACCAAAAACCTGACACCTGCTTTACTTTCCCCCTTTTATTTGTTTGTTTTAAACGAATAGGAACGCATCTGGACGGCAACATTCACCGATGGAATATCAACCCAGAAGGTGGCAGTATAACAGCTCAAAGGACTAAGAAATGCAGTTATACGAAGATAAAGAAAAACAGATATCGGGAGGTAAGGGACTTTTTTCTTTTATGTGTGTGTAGTTAATACAAAATTACAGTTGAATTGTTTATGGTATAGATGGTTAGTGTAACGTTTTTAAATTGGTGGTTTTTTGTTTTAAAGCATAGTTGTAAAGATTTGGCACAAGGAAATTGGAGGTGTACAGCACCACTAAACCAGGGAGCTCTATGGTATAGACACACCACTAACCATATTATCATCACAATGGATTTTAGTCAAAAGTTTAAATTCATATAAAACAATTTGTACAAACGCATCAAACCAAAGCAGGCTTAGCCGTGCAAACACTGAGTAATTATTTATGAACACTTTTAAGTAGGAAAGAGCATATGTACACTGTAGATGTTTGTTTTTTTTAAAAAAAAAAGAATCAGAGCAGAATCTTACAACCTTACAACGCACAACATGCAGTTGCATGGTCCTATATTGTCTCCATATTTTTTTAAAAAAAGCATTAGATATAAGTGGTGATGCAATATTTATTAGAACATTTCACATAGAAAACACCAAAAAACGAGCTTCATCCCTTTGAGATGTTGAAGGCCTAAGCTTCAAAAGCTGAGAAAAAAAACCCATCTTGGCCACTTTGTGTTCAAAGGGCACACTTTACTCTGGAGATGAGTCTCCCCCATGAGACTGAAGGGTCATGGTAATGTTTGAGCTTAGGAGCTGCTGTCTATCCATCCATCCATCCATCCATCCATCCATCCATCCATCTATCATTAACTCTTCTCACTGGAATACGAAAATAGTCACAGAGCAGTATTCATCTGAAGTCATGTTGGCTGCCATTCAAATATTGACACTACTTTTATCTCTGTTTTTGGTCCTCATCCACTCCTCAGGGAAATATCCAGCTAAACGTCCCTGAGCTTGATGTTTGATACAGAGGAGCTGTAGAGGGCTAACAGGGGTTGTTGGGGGGTGTTGGGGAGAAAGAAGAATTTGGTCAAGCTGAAAGTGACTTTAAAGCAGTTGGGAAAAAAATAATGTTATGTTAATGTTAAAAATAAATGTTCTTGGCAAAACATCAGTAAGTTCAAAAATGTATACTAAATCATGTTAACTACTAAAAAAGTGTCACGTACAAATGTAGGTTTTGTTATAAGTAACAATGATTCAAGTACAGCAAATTTAGTTTACACAACACATCGTTAACAACCAAAAAAACTACAAAGAGTTTACAATTTTGAAACTAATGTTGATTGTTTGTGGTCTATAGAATATTAAAAGAAGAAGAAACAATTTCAGCTTGTTCCATCATCCCTCTAGCCCCTGGGTTTCTATCTCACCCATTACTTTAATTAGCTTCTCTAAGTGAATTACAACTACGAATATCATAGTTCTTGAGGATGGAACTGGTTCACTTTGGTCAGGACACAAGACAGAGCTGTTTTTCTTACTTTCTTAATTAAAGATTAAAACCAAGAACAAACGTATACTGCAGCCATCACTGCTGACTCAGCTCATGTACCCCTGAGACATACTACCATACTGAATACTCAACATTTATTTTTCATTTGTCTAGTTCTGTTGCTTTTTTTCAAAATAGACTTATTTTATTATCTTTTCTGTGTGCAGAAAATGCGTCTATGTCAGGGTCCATGATCCTTTTCTTGCTGCTTATTGTTTGCCTTCCTGCTCCTCTCCCAGAAGCCTCTGTGTTTCTGTGGCTCCTATTTGACCCAGCTGTGGTCAAAAATGAATTAGGTGCAGATTCACCGGACTGTCAGCATCAATGGCAGCAGAGTTGAAAAGGCACAGGTGAGGATGGGTCAGGTTGGAATAATTCAGTGGTTTGGTTTCTGCTCCTGACAGACACTCTGGCCGCTGGTGCCGCTCGCCCAGGCCGTCTGAGCAAACACAAACAGCCGAGAGGAGCGGAGGAGAAGAAGCAGTGAGGAGAATGGAGAACACACATCACTACGGTCATCCATCCATCTGGACATGATTGGATTGTATGTAACCTCTGAATGCTGAGGGTTCCTCTTATTTAAAGGTCAGACACAACAACAAGAAACAATCTAAAAACAGATGAGGTTGTTACCTTTAATCCAATTACATCAATCTCTATGGCATTGACATTCTGCTCAACCTATAGGATACCATACCACCATCATTGGTACTGTCTTTGGTTCTGCTGTTTCATGTGTTTCATGGGACTGTTTTTCTTCCTTGCATTTCTTCTGAGTATATAGTAGTGAACGATAGACTTTTATCATTTATTTCACCTCAGTATCTGGATTGATAATAACTGAAATACACAATAAATGAAATTGCATAATATATCATAATTCAAAATTAAAATCAAGGCAATTAAAAGTAAAATGCTCTGTTGAGTTGTAGTTACAGTATGTCATTTCTGTTATGTATTTATAATGAACCACTTAATATTTTGATTCGTTTTCCCCACAACATGCTCACTAGATAATAATCTTGTGTCTCAATGATGAGAACTTCTGCACAAGCTCTGTACTCACAAGATAATATCATGTGCCCCGAGATAATGTTTAGAGTTTGCTTACAATATTGACATTGAGATAAAGGCACATTAGACAGTAAGTATATACAATATATATTTATATATGTACAGTATATGGTTCTATACGACATTTCGATCATATTAAGAGGCACTTTGGAATGTTTTACCCTTCCTTGTTTTTTGTGTTGTTGTTTTTTAATAAACAACATAGTGTAGTTTGTATTTTCTGGCATTTTTTAAAATTTTAAATTACATTTATAGAGTTCATAGATTTTTTGTAACTTCTCGATTGCAGCACCGCATTGAGAGAAATGCACATCAAGGCAAAAGCATATATTTATGCATCCTAAATATGGCATATTATTACATTTTGTAAAATTGAAACTATTAGAAAAGCAAATAACATGTTGAGATTAGTTCAAAACACTAAAAAAAAATTTAATAAAAATTTACATTTTCAATTAATATTTCACTCTCTTTGCTCATTTTCCTCCTAAATATTTACCATATTTTCAGCCCTGACACTTGGTAAGTCAAAACAATGGGCCAGATACAACTCACAAACCATATCTTTGACATCATTATACGAGTTGCTGCTGTAAAATTAATGCTGGAGGTCACAGAAATGTCACACCATTGACAAAGAAGAAATGGATGGAAATGATAACTACCGTATATTCATACAGGATTTATGTGACTCTTCTTATATAACTGCCTCGGAAATTTGCCCTGGGGCATGTTCAACTTGGAGAGTTAGGGTTAAAAAACAGGCCTTAAATAGACTGCTTAAGTCATCCTAAGCTTTGTTTCCTGTGTCTACTGTTCTGAAGAAAAACAAATTCTGTAACAGGCCTTCACACAAAGTTAACACAAGTTTGTGTGTCGAAAAAATGCAATTTTCGGACATTTTATATGATATTCAATATGTCTCCAATAAAAAAATAACAGCAGCAGACACAAAACAGGACAATAAAACCGCAGCAGTGTTGTTTTATTGATGACGTTGTTAAAAATATGGTGTCTACTTCCACTAGATGGAGCTGTTTATATTGAACGGGTCAATCTAAACTTTTAACGACCCATCTGGGAGGGGAAGTGGTTGTTTATGTTTAATATGTGTATATGCGTTTTTGTTGTCGATGGTCTATTGTTGGCTGCTTTCTACTCTGCGTGTTGTTTGGTTGTCATCAGTGGAAAATGATGAGAAGACTCAAACAGACAGTTGGATTGGAGGGAGACAGGCAGGTTAATGTTAATGGTTTTAATAAAGAGTTTCCAAACACAGTTATATGAACTGTGAACAGGCAGAAACACATTGTAAATGGCATAATAGTAGTGAGCGCTCTAGTTGTCATTGGTTTTAAGGTTCATCACCACAGCAGTTGGTGTAATTTTCTGGATGATTTTGTGAAATTTTAATTCTTAACATTTTTATAATAATACAATAATACAAATAATACAAATTGGTGGTCATTTGTTGGAAGTTGTTGTTTTTTTTACTTTAACATTTTATGTAATTCTTATTTTTCCCAGAATAACATATATAGTAACGTATTTTGGCTGTTTTGACATACTGGCATTTTATGATTTTATGATTTTATTTTAATGTTTGTTTTGGATAATTTTGGAGCTACCATTTTGGGCAGGTGGAAAATCCTTTTTTTTAATACAAGTGACAGGTTAAAACTGTGAGTTAGTATTTATTTATTTAAAACAGTTAGTATTTATATTGATAAACCTGTATTGCATGCTGGCCTTTTAAAAGGCTGGGTGCTCTTTCTATGAACCTTTCAAAGGTAAGAGAATAATCCTCTATGTTGTTTCCTCCAATGGAGTTAATCTCTGTGTTCTGGACTGGTTTTCACAGTCTGTCTCTGTACCTGCTACTCACATCTTTTTCCCTTGTCACTCAGCCTTGTGTGAGATGGAAATCTTTGTTGTGTGAGTGATTTATATGTATGGTGGGGCCTGGCAGTTGTTGTTATGGAGGCTTTGCTCTGTTTGTGAGATGTTATCTGAGCTTTTTACCCCTCGAATGTGATTAAAATCCAAGGAGGTGATACCAGGCAATATTTAATATACATCAGGATCCTTGAAGGTCATTAGCTAAATGTGCATTGATAAGACATCACTGTGAACAACATGTCTCAAAGTGCTCTATTCTAACAGAGCTCAGCAGTGAAGGTGAACTTCCAGAAAGAAATTACTGTTGACAGTGAAACAGATCTCAGAACGTAAACCATCTATTGCGTTATGTTCTTGCTTCTACAGGTGCCTTTTTATCATAATGGTCTTGTCCCTGCGTTGTTTGGTCAACAGTGGTGCTGTCTGTCAGTTTTG